CTGCCATCATCATTTAACAGATCTTCATGTTAACTCCCTACAGCCAACAATATAGTCTCAAACAAAAAGGAAATGCCATGCAGTCTTTCAGTTATTACCAAACGAGAAGTTTACAAATATTGAGTTAGGCAAAGAGAAGTTTATCTTGCTAAAACTTTTATCTATTTGTGTAGCCTATTGCCTTAAATCTACTATTGTTTGATATTCTGGCAAGCAAAATAACAAGGAAAAAAACTACTAAAATGTTATTTTAAAAAGAGGATTTAAAATAAAGAAAATAAATAGAATGCAAATACAGTAGTTTATCAGGACAGAGCTGAGCAGCCTTTTCCAGTTACATTTACAGATACAGTACGTAAACAGAATGTTCTCTGGTGTTAATGCACTAATATTAATCTTTAGCATTCTATTTTAACCTCTAGCAATTATTTTTCATTTACATTACTGTTGAATTAATTTAAAGGCTCAGTTTCCAACAATTGTTCCACTTGTTCTAATCTTTTAAACTCATTCTAAGCTTATCTAACATTTACTTCTGCAAAAACTCAGAACATTTACATAACATAATTACAAAACTTTATAATTTGGTTCAAATTAAATATTGGATTGACTGGTGGTTAAATATAAAAATAAAATAAACAATGGATTTGAGAAGTCAGTATTATGACTTGAAACAGAACATTCTTATATTGTTTAATTTCCTTTCTAGTCTTTCTACATGTGTATTTTTCATTCTCATTATTTATTTAATAGATGTTTTATAATTGCTCATCAGCAAATAAAGTTTCTTGAATTCAAATGATACTACATTTATGAAACCTTTGTACCATCCTTTGTATGAATCCATTATACCATAGCCAGATTTATTATTAGAAGGGATGATGAACATATGGATTTTCAGAGATAAAATTACATAATTGAGACACTAACACTGTTCCCTTTTAATATTCTTCCTCCTCAAAGGTAATAAAAAATAGAAGTCTTATGAAAATGCTTGGATCAGAACGTGGTGTGGTAGAGGAATGGCTATCAGAATTCAAGGTGAGAATTTTAAAAGGTGAATATGTTTTAATAACTTCTATATTTGGCTGCTAAATCTGAAGAAATTTTGTGTGATATCACTGTCTCCCCTCCACCCAATTTTTCTTTTGCAATTGTTTGCTGAGGATTTATAGATAATATTTTCTTTCCTAGCTTACAGTGGTGATCCAGAATAGATAATAACACTAAGCCAAAATATGGATTGTTTGTTTTTGTTTTTTGTTTAGTGTAATGTATGAATCTCATCAATGTGATTTAGGTCACTATAGCTTGTTCAGTGAATGATAATGATAAGAAAATTCAAGCCAGTCTTGATGTGGAACACGTTCTTCTTGCTTCTGTTTTTTTTTCTTAGGCATTACCTGAAATGCAGATTTCCAATTATGCAGCAACACTTCATCGGAAGAAAATATTAGTGCCAGCTCTTTATAAAGTTATTCAAGATCCAAATAATGAGGTATGAAACAATCAAATCACTGTTAAAAGGGCAACAATATGTACATTATGTGTACAAGAGCTGCAGTGGCACAGTGGTTAGAATACAGTACTGCAGGCTACTACTGCTGCCTGCCAGCTGTCTGCAATTTGGCAGTTGGAATCTCAGCAGCTGCAAGGTTGACTCGGCCTTCCATTGTTCCGAGGTGGGTAAAATGAGGACCCAGACTGTTGGGGGCAATTTACTGACTCTGTAAACTGCTTAGAGAGGCTGTAAAAGCATTGTGAAGTGGTATATAACTAGTGCTATTGCTATTGCTGTTAATACAGTTCATATAGAAACTCCTTATGTATTGTTTCTTTGACAAATTAGTATGAATAACAGTTTGCTTCTATCTATTCTGTGTTGTTCTATTTCATTTGTCTTCATCAGGAAAATGTTTTCAAGTTAAACACTATATATTTGAAATATTATATTACACTCAAGATTTGCTGCTTGAATAAGATGGAGTAAAATATTAAATTTTTTGCATTGTAGAAAGTTTGTTGCAGATGGGACTATTGTGCTGGAGCTGATTATTAAATTTTCTGGATTCTCGAGAGCAGAGCACAGCTACAAATGCTGGCATGCTGATCAGCCATTTGCCAACTAGCTGCATGACAATGGCAATGGAGCTATCAGAGTTAATTGTTAAACATTTCCCACTTTAGTGCTCACTTGAACAAAGACTTTACTTGTATCTTCAGGTTAAATAAGCATGATTACCTTTTGTTTCTTAGTTGGTTATTTGAAAGAGAGCCTACGTGATAAAGAGTTTAGGGTGATGAAGTAGGATCAGAAAGTCCCAGACTTCTAGTCCATGCTAAGCCCTGGAAACTCACCGCATGTTTGTTAGGTAGTTGCTCTCTCTTAGCCCAAGCTATTTCAGAAATGCTATAAATGCCATCTGAGCACCTGGGAGAAGGGTAAGATAAAGGAAAGAAACTCGATAGGAAGATTATTAAAATGAATATATTTTTGTTTTTCTAAGAGATTAAATACAATATGAACCAACAGTTGAAATATTTTTTCCAAGGGGTGTTTGGAAATAAGAAAGATTAGAAAAATTGTATGATTGGATGGAAATATCTCATTAGATTATGGAACCTGCAAGAATATTATTTCAGAATAACTGCGGAAAATATGCCCTTGGCCCTTGGCACATTTTAAAAGACAAAATGCAACTTCTCCCTCCTAAGCATGTTTTTAAAATGCTCAGAGAGGGGAGGGTCTCAGTCCTATGCTGCCTGGTTATATGTGGTCCTGATTGAGTTTCTGGCACTGGACCAGGCCATGATCAGGATTCAGGTCCTGGGGCTCCCCTTTTGCTCTTAACAGTGGGTCCTGCAATAGTTCTAACCATCTATAGGGAATATCCAAGGCAATCTGGCAATAACTGAGATGCTTTTGTCTAGCCTTTTCTTGGTCTTCTATTTCCAAGGCTGTTTCTTTATGGGTTCCTTTTGTTGGATGGCATCGCTATGTCCTTAGTATCCCATACATCCTATTGGAACATTGGCCTGTCTCTTTTCATAAAGTATTATCTTCCTGTGAAAAATATAAGAGGTGGAATACCCAAGCTACCTAGAGCAGACATGTAATTATAACATTACATGATCCAAGTTCTTAAGAGTTCATGTGTGACTCATAGGAATCTTGTACTAACAAGTTAAACTTTTCTACAGCAGTCAATCTGATCTTTGTTCCATTGCTTTTTGGTGGGATGATTAACAAGATTTCTATGTTAAAACTCAGTTGAACTTGTGTCTTTGAAAGCAGACTTTTAAAATCTCTTTTAGCTTTTAAAATGAGCTAAGTATTGTACTATTTGGTTTTGTTGTATTTCTTAAGAAAATAAATGTGTGTGATGTGATCTGTTAGAATCTCTACAAGGTTGGAAGAAAGAAACACAATGTAAGTACAGTCAGAAATAAAAATAGATGTATTAGAAAAGATAGTTTAATTTCAAGTATGTTTACTGAACTGAGTTACAGAGATCATACTTTCTTTTGCTTCTTGTAAGACTTTGTAGATCTTAGCTTTCAGTCTATTTCCTTTTTTATTGGACTTTTAAAAGTGATTTTATAAAATAACATGGTAAAAACAATTTAATAAATAATTTGATAAAAATAAAATGCTAACAAGTAATAAACAAAGGGTCAAAATCTTTTCTGACAAAACTGTAGGCTGGCTGTTCTAGGCAATTTGAAGAGATATAATTTGAAGGGATACAATTGCAGCTTGAGGCTGGTAACAATATGATCAGGGAATACAGTACTGTATCTATTTTGAATGAGTGGGATAAATTGCATCCCAGAGTATAAAAAAAAAAACACGTGGTAGTGTTCCAGACAAGTACTGTTTATTGTCTTTGAGAAATCCTGGAGTATCAATAAAATGCCAAAGTACCAGGAGAAAACTTTTTTTTCTATCTTCAGAAGATTCCAACTCTTACAAGCTAGTTAATCAGATACTAATACCTAGGAATATTCCATAGTATATCATAAAGCAGTATATCTCTACACAATACAGTTTTAATTGGAAGATTTTTTTCCAGAAAGTTCTATTAAGTTAACACCTCATTTTTATTGGATTATGTATGTCATAAATGGTGGGAATACCATGAATAACTTAATTCTGGGTAATAATACGTTAAAGTATCCCTTAACATTCAGATAAATAATATAATAATATAATATTTAGGTTATATGGCAAGACAGTAAATTTTCTTTTCTTTTTTATTATATAATCATTAATAGTGTAGAAGAAACAAAATCAGAATACTTGTGATGGTTCAGAGAAGTAAGATGAAGAGACTGAAATTTAATAGAGACAGATGCAGAGTTATTTAATTAATGGAAATACTTGGCTTGATAATAATATTCTGAAGGCTTAGCATTATAGCTTACTATAAACTATATAGGTAGAAGCAAACTATATAAATGGTATAATGAGTCTGTCAGGTCCAAAGCCAAAAATGATACAGTGAAATCTAATCGAGTCAGTCCTTTATTGTGTACATCTAATGGACAATCTTGCAAAACTAAAGCTATAACCTCCTAATCTAGTAGATATATCCTAAGAGATTCTAAGGTATAGTTACCCTAAATTTTTTCTTTCCTTCATCATCCAATTGGGAATGTGCAGTCTCTTAATCTGAGCCTCTCTTTAATTAAATTTACTCCCTTCTTCCTGGGAAACCTCTATGTTGCCCAAACTCCTATCCATTGATTCTCCATGTGCACATTCCATCATAGAGACAAACAGTGTGGCATGACTGTAAAAGAAAGGAAACCACCATTTTAGATGGCTTCAACAGAAGTATAGGTTCAAAAGCACTGAAAACAGTGGTTCTATTCTCTTTTACATTGGCCAGATCTTGCTTTGATACTGTAATCATTCCTATTTACACTTTTAGGCACACTGAAAGAGATCAGAAAAAGGAATGATGAAGATGATGATGACAATGATAGTGAGAAATTAAATTTCCAGAAATTAAGTCTTCTAAGTGGGATGGAGGGAAATGCTGTGTTTAGCTTTGAGAAGACAAGACGTGAGGTTATAGGATATGCTAGAATAGTTCAGATACCTGAAAGGATGTAATTTCAGGTATCTGAACTATTCTGGTCAAGATTTGTCATTCCATAGTTGAAGACATCAAATGAAAAACTTCTTAAAAGAAGTTTATTTGAGGTGAAAGTTTAGCAAAACATGCTCATAAGAGCAGTTCAACAGTGAATTCACTTACTAAGATCTAAGATTGTTGGTAAACCATCTTTCATTAGATATGTTCAGATGAAAACAACATGGCTCTCTGTGTGGGAAACTTTAATTTAGATTCCTACACTTACTAATGGTTGAATTTGATGTCCTAAATGATACTTCCCATCGCTATGATTCTTTTGGCAATGTGTCATAGTTAACATTGATTGATATCAGTGTGTAAACCACAACAATCATTTGTCTCCTCCAGTTTCTGGAACCTGTCTGCCACCAACTCTTTGAACTTTACCGTAGTTCTGAGATTCGTCTCAAAAGATTCACCTTGCAGTTCTTGCCAGAACTCATCTGGGTTTATTTGCGTCTTACTGTCAGCAAAGATAGGCAGAGCAATGGTTGCATCGAAGCCCTACTTCTAGGAATTTACAACTTGGTAAGTAAGACTACAATGAAAATGTACTGACCTTCTGAATTGATGCAGCTCAAAAGTTGGACAGGCCATAGGCCACAGTCAGCATAAAGAATCCTGTAAAATAACATAGCCACTATTTGACAGCAGCCTACAAAAGACAAGAGTGTAATTTCTTGTTGATTTCAGCATTAAGCAAAATAGGAAGATGATAAGGCTAGGCTTCAGACTTCTTAGGACTAAAATGAAATTGAACCTTCCTTCTGAGCATTACTGCCTGAAAAATCCCAGGCCTTTGCATGATATCTTCTTCAGCAAGTTTATTTGCCTCTCTGTGAGAATTTTTAATATCTCACGGACAGTTCTCTTTTCTGACAGTTGTTTGGATTGCTAGACTGGTGGTTCTGATGAGTTTCCAAAGAATATTACTCTGCCTGTTAACTTATCAATTTCTGTATGTTATTTGTATGTTATCATTTCTTTAAGTCACATTATTTATTTTTTAAAATGTAAAGACAAAATAAAGTGCTTGAATAAACGGAATAATAGAGTTTGCAAGACTTTTGAGCAAAAGCAAAAAGGTTCTTGTCAATGAAGTTGTGGAAAGCCCTCTGCTCTACAAATTGTAGCCTGGTCTGTTGCTAAAACAAAGTCTTCATCTTTCATTAAAAGATTATTCTTTTACTTCATGGATGTTTATTTTGCTGGTATTAAAATGACATAATTATATATATTAACTTGTCTTTCCCAAATGTTTTTATATTATAGGAAATTGCTGACAAAGATGGGAATAATAAAATTTTATCTTTTACTATCCCTTCCTTATCAAAACCTTCAATTTACCATGAGGTAGGAATACAATCATATTCCTAGACTTCTGATAAGAAAGTACCGTGTTTCTCCAACAATACGGCCTCCACCAATAGGAAGGCCCAGGTTTTATCGGCATAAAATCAAATTAAGCCCCTCCCCCCAAATTAAGGCTTATATTAAACATGCGAAATGGGGGGGAATGGTGGGGGGGGGCTTGCCGTTAGGAAATAGTTTTGTTGCATACCCGGATATGGTGCTGCCTGCGTTGACTTTGGCATTGGTGGGGCACTTCGTACCAGGAGACCTTCCTCCACCATTGCTTTCCTTTCTCCCTTGCTGCCGCGGCGTTTAGAACAACGCTGCGGCGTTTGGCACAGCCAGGCGCAGCCAGCCAGGGAGGCAAGGCGACGGCCTGCGCCGCATCCTCCGAGCTGAGCCCCGCCGAGTCAGCGCCTCTGCCTGATGCCCGTTCCGCTGCAGTGTTTGGAGTTGCTGGCGCATTTGGAGATTCGTGGGGACGGGGATGGGCTGGGTGAGGGGTGGAAAGGATGGGCGGCTTCGGGCTCTCTCCGCCGGCCAGGGAAGCAGCGCTGCCATCACCTCACCTCCCTGTCTACGGATGGGTGGGCACTATCACTGCTTTGGGCAGCCTCTCCCGGTGGCCCCTTCGGGTTCGCGCTGGAGGGACTTGGGAAGGAAGCCAAGGTCAGGTCGGCCTGGCTCTTTTGCTTGGCAGGTGGGCGCGCACCTGTGGCTCGCTTTCCTGGCTCTGCCCAGCCCGCACGGCTCTGGCATGGCCCTGGCGGGATGAGCAGAGGGTCCGGCGGGGAGGCGCTCGCTGCCTTGATGAGAGCTCTGCTGCCGGGAAGGAGGGCCCGCCTGTCAGCTGCGCTGGGCGCTGCAGGTGAAGCTCTTCGCACTCTGCCCGGCACCAGGCAGGGATGGCGGCTGGGCGCTTCTCCCGAGGTGGGCCAATCCTGCGCTGCGGCCCCGGGAGATTCGCCTCCCCACATGGGGTTGGACTGCCCTCTCGGGCAGGGGAGTCTTTGTTGTAGTAGGGCGTCATTTTTAAAATAATTGGTTTTACCTTCGAAGGCAAAGGGAAGGCGGTGACAGGAGCGCCTGAAGCCGAGTGTCTCTGCCAGGCTCCGGTTGCAGGGAGGAGCCCTGGCTGGCTGCACGTGGCTGCGCCAAACACCACGGCGTTGCTCTAAACACCGCAGCAGCAAGGGAGAAGGGAAAGCAACAGTGGCAGAAGGTCTCCCGATACGAAGTGCCCCACCAATGCCTAGGTCAACATCCAAGCTGTCGCTGCCCGCCCACCTGAGGATGCAAGGGGGGGGGAATTAAGTCACCCCCGAAAAGACGGCTTAGCCGTTTTTTCGGGGGTCAAAAAAAAAAAAGGCCCGGCCTTATTTTGTGAGAAACACGGTAGGTTGAATCTAATAGTTGTTTCTAAAAGAAAGCTGTTATCTGATATTAAATTGGAGTTTCTAAACTTTGTATAATAATTAGACCTTCCTTCTTGTTAGACTTTATTTTTGGGATCTTGAAATTATCCCTAAATAATATTGTCACTATTTTATAATTCCCAAGCCATCTACAATTGGATCCATGGCTTTGACTGAGGGAGCCCTGTGTCAGCATGACCTCATCAGAGTAGTTTATAGTGACCTTCACCCTCAAAGAGAAACATTCACTGCACAAAACAGGTAAGCAAGTGATGTAGTAGGTCCTACCATAACAATCCAAATATCTTAAAAGAAAAATGCTCCTTGACTTTGAAATGTGAGATAATTGAATAGAGCAGAAAATATTAGATTCGTCTGTTAGGTAGATTCTAATGGGTGCCTTCCAATATATAAGTTTTGAAAGACTCTTTAATAATCTAGAGCTATAGGCACTTTTGAAATAGTCATGTTTTTGTTAAACTAAGGTTTCTGGTTTGTATATCATTGTGAATTCATTAACTCAACTCAAATTGTATTTTTTTTTTTGTATTTGTATAAAGGAATTGGAGACTATTTGTGTTTTTACTTTAATACTTTTTGCAATTTTAGTTATGTCCAGAGACAGATAACAGAAAAATATTGATTGCAAATGGTAAGGCAGGACAGAGAAGTAAAAAGATAGTGAAGTAAAATAAATCAACAAAAGATAAGCTGAAGAGTTAAAATATAGAACATTTAATATGTAGTACCAGAGAACTCTAAACCATTAACCTCCTGATAGCACTAACATTTATAAGAACCTGAATACCATCCTAAATACTTCAGGAGGCACATCAGCTAAATGAAAGCAAGTTTTCAGTACATCAGTTTATACAGTGGGGGGATTATTACGTTTGTGCACCAAACAATGTAAAAAGAACAGGGGAATTAATTAAATGTTAGTAATGAACTCAATATCCCTCATTTGACAGAGGCATAGTATGCCTTGAACTAAGGATTTTCCCCCTGTATTACCACAGAATGTAGAGAATTAAATCAACCCAAAGCTCTTTAATCAGAATCATTAGAATATTCAGTTCTGCACATCCCAGTTTAAAAAGGACGTTGATTAAACTGCAGCATATCCAGTGAAGAACTGGCAAGAAGGTGAAAGAATTGAAAACCAAGAAGAACTGTTAAAAGACCTAGGTACATGTTTAGTTTGCAGAAGAGAAGTTGAGAGGAAACATGATAGCTGTTTTTAAATATCTGAAAGGTTGATACATTGTATGGGGTTTGGACTTGTTCTGGGTTGTTCAAGAAGATATGATTATATCTAATATAGTATGAAAGTTTTAGGATGTAGATACAGATTAGACATTAAGAAAACATTTTGAGAGTAAGAGCTGTAAGCTGAAACATAGTATTCCACCTGGGCCAGCTCCATAACTGAAAGAAAAAGTGCCTAATCACTTTGAAGATTGATATGAAAAGCACACCATTTCAATTTTCTATTGGTTGTAATTAGTTTAGATTAAATAAAACCCTGTGAGGTTATGCTCTCTGGTCTGTTTTAGTGCTTTATTTCCAAGCTGAGAGAAAGTCATCCAAGATTTTTTTGTCTTAGAGTTAAGTGATGGTAAATCTTTCCACCAGACACCGTAAGGGTCATGTGTCTACCACTTGAATTGTGGAGAGAATAGTTATTTCATCAGCATAGGAGAACTGAGATTAAATTATGCAGAGAATTCAATGGAATTCATTGAATTCAGCTATGGTTCCTTCCTTTTTGACGCAAAGAGACAACTGAAGTGCATCTGACTTGCATTAATGTTTTTATGTAATTTCATAATCAGAAGCAGTAATCTTTGATCAGTAGAGAAGATTGCCGGGTTCACCTAAACTCTATCCTCAGAGATTGAATCAAATGAAGAGAGACAGTATATAGGGTGTCTCTTGGCTGACTCATTATCTTTCCATTAAGTGCTATAACTGTATACAGTGACTGAATGTGGATTGTCCTCAGTGGTGGTATTCAAAAAGTTTTATCACTGGTTCGGTGGGTGTGGCTTGGGTGCGCTTTGTGCGCGTGCACACACTTTGCCTGCACGTGCATGCCAAATGCACACTTTGCACAGGCGCGGAGGCTTTCCAATTCACCTCCTGCAAGCCTGCATTCTCCCGATCGCTTCAGCAGCTGCTGCGCAGCACTCTGCTGTGCCGTGCAAAGCAGCTGCACTTCAAAAGCAGAGGATAAAGGTGAGTATGGGAGCCCAGATGGGCAGGTGGGCCCAACAGCAGAGCGACGGAGAGAACCAGTTTGGTCTCCGCTGCTCATCGGCGCTACTGGCTCGGCAGAACTGGGCCAAACCAGTAGAATACCACCACTGATAATCCTAGCCTAGGCTAAATCCTGCTTGTTTATCAGCCAAAACCTACTTCTGGATCAACCAGTCCAACAACTTCAAGTTCAGGTGTCCTGTGTACAGTTTGCTAACTATACCTAAGAGACTAAATGACTGATTACCCAGATCAGAATTACTGGTTTCTTAAAAATAGTTACTAGTTGTAATCTTGATCTTTTGGGGTTTGACAAGCATGATTGATATGAGTGAATAAGGAAGTGTCAGGATTTATATTTAATAGGCACCTATTCTAGACCATACAAACCAAGAGAGATTAGGTTTTAGTAGTTTGCTTCATGACATTGGAAATTTACCAGTATGGCAGTCAGCATACTTGGGAGCCCACTTACTAGTAAAGTCCACAAGCACACAGAAGCTTGCCTGTAATCATTCTAACTCCCAGATAGTGAGTTGGAAAGCAAATCACACACTGCTTTGTTCACAGGGAAGGTCTAAAGTCAAAGTATTTCAGAAAGAAAGGGTTTTGAGGCATAAGTACAATGAGCCCAGATTGAATTTTTTGTTCCCAACAGAGGTTTGCTACTTAGTGATTACTCTCGTGTAACTTGGAATCCTCATTTTCTAATTGTTACACAGCTGTTCCACTGTAAGGACACCTCCTTACGGTGTCTGGTGGAAAGATGACTGCCGGCAGTAAGCCTCACATATTTGTTTGCCAGTTCCCAATGCTGACATTTATTTGGCACATCTGGAGCATACACCTTGACAATCCTCCAAGTCTGCTATGACTCTCAGCAAAGATCAGGTTCCATCCTGCTGCCTTGTTTATTTGAAAATATTTTGTGGTTGAACATTTAATTGTGCTATTGTATCTTCCAAGACTACTACATCAAATCTAGACAAAGTGAACTCAAAAGAGAACTATTTTGTTACTTTTTAAAACCCATCAGCCAAATGGTTGCAATAGAATATTAACTATTTCAATCTGTTCCACTTTGTCTCTCTAGGTTTGAAGTGTTGAGCTTTCTTATGCTGTGTTATAATTCTGCTATTGTATATATGCCTGCTTCTTCCTATCAGTCGCTTTGCAAGATGGGTTCTAGGTAAGAAATTATGCACTTTGTATCATTCAGGGGAATGTTTTTTAAATGATAATAAAAAGAAAAACATATGGGTTTTATGTACCTGTGAGACAATATTTGAATATTGATTATTTGCCATAATTTGATCCTGCTTTTTTATTTGAGTATGTTAATGTAATGAGTTGTTTTATTACAGATATAGAAATTTAGATTCTTCACATTGTCTAAATTAGATTTTAAAAAAATTCTCCTAATTTACTGGAGGAAGAAAAAAGGATCATGGCTTCTCATATGTATGGAACAGAGCTGGATTTTATGGGTATCATTCAAGAGATACATATGTTTGTAACTTGGACCTTCAGGCTGGTTGCAGATGTACAGTGAAATATGGTTAATCAGATGTAGTAGTGGAGGGTGACGTATAAAACATACTTTTTAAAACAAGATGATCCCAAATAACAAGACATGGATCATGATGATCATGATGCAAGTTGTGTCTTTTTGTATTAGTGCCACAACATTGAAGATATGTATGTACAAAATAGAGTTTGTACTTTCAACATCATGATGCAGGTTTTATCAATTAACCTTCCACTAAGGAGGGATTGAACCATGGAACCAACTTTCCTTATGGGGATTGGACCATGTATATTGTTTTATATACTTTTCATTGTGATTTTTTTTTCTATGTGATGCTTATGTGAATTAAGATAAACAGGAGAAAAGTCCAAGTCCCATTCTGAAAAACCATTTTTAATGAAGATTATCCAAAATGGATCTTATGGAGCATCATTTTTTCCCTTTTTAACCTGACTAGCAATAGAAATAACTAATAGGTAGCCTGTTTACTAAGCCTGACTCCAAATCAGGGGTCCCCAACCCTCAGGCCGCAGACTGCTACTGGTCCATGGCCTGTTGGGAACTGGGCTGCTCAAGTGGTGAGCGAACATGCAAAGCTTTATTTGTGCATGTGTGGGGTTAGGTTGCGCGCATAAAACCAGCCCCGCCAACAGTGATCCATGGAGGCAAAAAGGTTAGGGACTACTACTTTAAAGGATCTAAATAAATTTATGACAAGAACAGAAACAATATGAAAAAGGCCTATAAACTCATGTTTTTATTGTTATTAGTTTATTTGCTGTTTCATTTCACTTTTTATATTCTTTTCCAACTAATATGAATCAATAATTACCTTCTAGTTCTGCAATATCTGTGCCAACCGCATACTGGATCCGTGCCTTTAATTCATCCATTCTAAAAATCCAATAAGGGTTGCATTACAGGTGGAATATCCTCAGAAGAAAAAGACACTTCAGCGCCATGGTGCTGAAAATCTTTTCAGAGGAAAATTGATGTTTCAGTCCAAAACGTGCATTCTTACAGCTCTTCTCCCTTTAGAATCCTTTACGTGGGCAAATTTTAATTTCTTTGTTTTTAAAAGGATATTATTGATCTTGACCTTGCCTTTGACTGGATTTCAATTTTTTCTTGCTGCAGTTAAATGTTAAGTGGACATTGATGGTTGTTACCTGGATACTTTCCATAAGTGTGATTAGATGTAATTTGATTGATGTTGATACTGAACTGTAGAAATAATTTCAGAGAATTTCAGTGGGAATAGATCGGCAGCTTTTACAAAAATCAAGTTTGTGATGATAGGAAGTTTTCAGGCAAAATAAGAAATATTGTGAGTAATAATAGTTATTTTCTACTATATCATTAGTAATCGAATATAGTACTGCAGACTACTTCTGCTGACTGCCGGCTGCTTGCAGTTTGGCAGTTTGAATCTCACCAGGCTCAAGGTTGACTCAGCCTTCCATCCTTCCGAGGTGGGTAAAATGAGGACCCAGATTGTTGGGGGCAATAGGCTGACTCTGTAAAACCATTTAGAGAGGACTGTAAATCACTATGAAGCAGTATATACAGGGGTAGGATTCTACCGGTTTGGGCCGGTTCGCGTGAACCGGATGTTAATCTTACATCCAGTTTGGCAAACCGGTAGTTCTGAAGAACAGCTGGCCCTGCCCACCCCACCCTGCCCTGCAGTCCCTACGAGGCCCGTTTGGCTCCCAGGTAAGTGTAGGGTAGCCTCCTGGGAGCCAAAATGGGGCATTGGAGGGGTCCGGTGCTGCTCCCCCACCCTGTTTTTGCTCCCAAGAGACTCCAGGGAGGCTTGCTAGGCCCAAAATGCTTCCCCCCACCCTGCTTATGCTCCTAGGAGGCTCCAGGGAGGCTTGTAGGCCCCATTTTGGGCCAAGGAGGCCTCCCTGCAGCCTCCTGGGAGCATCCAGCCATCCAATATGCCTGAATTCAGTGTTTAGCCAAAAGAACATTTGGAGCTAATACAGTATTGATTACTGCCTTGGGAATATTCCATGTAATCAAAACTATGCAGTCTCCTAAAACTGTTGGAGCCAATCTTCTTTCTTTCTTCCATATCCTCCTCTTCAAAACTAGTAAGTTGCTCTGCTTTTTCATGCCAGGCGTAGTGTGGTAAGTTTAGAGTGGGTTTTGTAGAGAACAGCTTATCTTTAGATCTCATTCATTTGCTCAATTTCAGAGCATACATTACACAATTTCCAAAGCATAATTCAGACTATTCAGCAGTTTGCCTAGCTACTGCTTCATTACGTCTATTGCTGTCACAACCTTTATAAAGCCCAATGGCCTTTTAAATTTGACAAGCAAAAAACATAGTAAATATTTCTCACAAATATTTTCCCTCTTCCACTTTGTGGCTCGATATTTAACATACAAAATTATATGCTGTGTTACTATTCAGGCAGTTTGCAACTTGTGTTTTTTGTTGTTGGAAGGCAACTCTTAAAATTTGAAGATGGTGGTAAATTCTTGGTAATAAAATGGCAAGTAGAAAGGCTCACTTCTACTTGCCATTTAGAAAATATTAGAAAGAATGAGAAGGTTAAGCTTTGTTTTGTTTCCAATCTCCTTTTCTTGACTTGGTCTTCATAAAAAGTAGCTTTGGAATTGAAGCCATATGTGTTAAAACAAAATTCTTTCTGTTTAAGTACAAGTATGCAAAAAGTTTCAAGATTAATCCAAGATGTTTAATGGCTTTAAATATCTGGGTGTTGTACTAGGGTTTAAGTCAGAGCTCTTCAAACTTCCCAACTTTAAGACTTGTGGACTTCAACTCCCAGAATTCTCCAGCCAGCATAGCTTTCTTTCTTTCTTTCTTTCTTTCTTTCTTTCTTTCTTTCTTTCTTTCTTTCTTTCTTTCTTTCTTTCTTTCTTTCTTTCTTTCTTTCTTTCTTTCTTTCTTTCTTTCTTTCTCTTAAAAGGAAGAAGAAAAAGAAAGAGGGAAGGATGGGAGAAAGAAAGGGAGGGAAGGGAAAAAGGGAAGGGAAAGGAATGTGAATGAGATATGGATGGATGGATGGATAGATGGAGGGAGGGAGGTAAAGAAAAAGGAGAGGAAGGAAGGACCACAAACCTGGCACTAGATGCAGCTTCAGAGGATGCTTTGAAACAGCACAGCAATCCAGGGACCTCAGAGGTCATCTAGTCCAACCCCGCACCAAGAGCATTGTTAAAGTGAGTTTCTATCTTTTGACCCACCCAGTCACGTGACCACCAAGCCACACTCAGCCGATCATGTGACCACCAAGCCATACTCAGCCACCATATGACCACCAAGCCACGCCCAGCCAGTCACATAACCACCAAGCCACACCCACAAATTAGACCACGCCCACAGAACCGGTTGTTAAGAAATTTGAATCCTACCCCTGGATATATAAATCTAAGTGCTACTGGTAGTGCTATTATCCCATGATATTGTAACCATCTTTCATTGTGGTTTTATGTAGAGAAAGGATTGTTTTAATGGTGTGTCTTAATTGTTTATGTAGATATTACAGAATTAAATATATTAAAACATTTGCAGGTTGTTCCTGACTTAACAACCACATGAGACCAGAATTTATGTTGTTAAACAAGATTGTTGTTGTTGAATCATGCTCAATTTTATGAACTATTTTGCCACAGCTGTTAAGCAAATTACTGCAGTTGTTAAGTGAATCATTCAGTCAGTAAGTGAATTCAGCTTTTCCTATTGACTTTGCTTATCAGAAGCTGGCTGGAAAGATTGCCAACAGCAATTATATGATCCCAGCATGCTCCAGCCATCGTAAATATATGCCTCTTGCCAAGCACCCAAATTTTGATCACCTGACTGTGGGAATGCTGCATTGGTTGTCAGTATGAGGTCTGGTTGTAAGTCACCATGCAGCAGTGAATGGGTGCTAAACAAGAGTTACCTATACTGCATTGCATCACAAATACTTTGGTTTTTAATTTAAGTGAGTAATTTTCTCACAACAGTATATACTACCCACTACTATAAAAACACATAAATAAACTAAAAATGAATATTATTACTGAAATACCTTGGTTTGTAGTTTAGAATTTTGTATGCAAAATTTAAAATAAGAAAATGTGTTTACTCAAAAGATAAAGATGTAATTTTTAGAAATGTGTTTATATTTTGCAGGCTCTGTGTGAGTGGATTTCCACGACAGAATGAAAAATGCTGGAAGGAAGATGGCTGCAGAGTAGTATTGGATCCTGACTTCATGGTTCAGTTACTCACTGGAATCTATTATGCTATGTATGTATCTAAATTTTGGGTGTAACAGTTCTTGTTTTTGAGCAAATTATTAATATTTTTGCAGGAATAAAATATAACATAAATTATTAACCCTTAACCACAGACCTACTGTTTCGGCTATGCTATTACAGACATGAGGTCATAATGACTGCTCTAGCTGCTAGCTGTAGTCCAGGTAATTGCACTACAATATTGGATTTGTGGTTCTGGATCTATTGCTTCCAAAAGGTGCAGAAGACCATTTGAATTTGTTCTTGCCATATAAATTATTGCATGACATGGATTGTAGCTGGTCATCAATTTTATCGGGAGCTTTATCATCGCTGATGTCAGAACTGGCCCACTGGGTTCCTCATCGTCCATTATAAAATTTCCATTGCAATCTGATTCCACTTCACTCAGATCACTTTCTGCTTTTTCATACCACGTTAGAGCAGTTTCTTCGAAGTTTGGATCAGCAAATCACACTCTTTTTGGCAGAAAATGTGGCCCCAGCTTTATAAAAAAAATGTTAACAAAGATCTGCAGTTAAAATGACAGCAACTCAAATTCAAACGCCACTACAGAAAACACCAAATAACTCACGCAAGCGTGCTGCTGCATACACTCTTAATGGTGGGAAAACAAAAACTATTCGCAACTGGAACAGTCCATTTGTAAAAATAGGGGTTTTCTGAACATTTTGGGAAACTGTTGCAGTCACTATCACCGTGGGTCTGTGGTTATGTGTTAAAGTATTAACAGTGGACACTGGACTTCTGTCAGGCAATGTTTCTGCTTTATTAGTTAGCTGTAGTTTGAAAATACCGTATTTCATTGGCCTAAATACAAGTGAGCATACATATATTTTGTCTTGTTTAAAAAACAGCAGTGAATGGAAAAGAACCACTTGAATAACCCTCTAGCAGAGTACTTAACATGTTTTTCATTTTTTTCTTTCTAATAGTTGTACTATGTTCTGCTGTGAAAAATAGTAAGTTACATTTGCCATGAAGTTGATTTTTAACTCTGGAAAGCTTCTACTTGATTATTACCAGTTGCATGTTTCCTAGATTGAAGGGTCTTACTCATGATCACTCCTATCCTGGCCATCTCACATTTGAACTACTGTAATGCTCTTTACATAAAGCTGCCCATGAAGAGTATCCAGAAAATTCAATTGGTGCAAAATGCAGCGAACATACATTATATTTCTGCTTCACAAGCTGCATTAGTTACCAGTTTATTTCCAGGTCCAATTCAAGGTGTTGATGTTGATCTTTAAAGCCTTTCATGGCATGGTATTTGAGCCTCTTCCCCAGTTTAATTTACCTGCCATCTCTCCAGATCCAACAGAGAGGGCATACCAATAGCACTTCACAGTGCTTCACAACCCTCTCTAAGTGGTTTTACAGAGTCAGCATATTGTGCCCAACAATCTGGGTCCTTATTTTACTGACTTCAGAAGTATGGACGGCTCAGCTAAAATGCCGGGCTCATGGAGGGAGGCACTGATTTCGCTGATTCCAAAGGAGGATTTGGATCCCCGATTTATACAAAATTACAGACCAATTTCTTTGTTAAACACTGATTACAAACCATTAGCTACCATCATAGCAAACAGATTAAAAAGAATATTGAATGAGTATATACATAAAGATCAGAATGGATTTCTCCCTAACAGACAAATTAGGAACAATTTAAGAATAGTGTTAGATGTCTTGGAATATTATGAAGCCCACCCGGATAAACAAGTAGCCCTTGTGTTTCTGGACGCTCAGAAGGCCTTCGATAATTTAAATTGGCAATTTCTAATCCAACAAATCTATAATATGAATTTAGGCACTAAAGTGTTTAAAATGCCATCACTCTTGGAGGAGTTGAAGATGAGTCTTAAAAAACAGAAAGAAGATGCAGAAAGGGGAGGAAGATCCTTTGGCTTCGGATTTGAATTTTTTGAAATGGAGATCCTGAACTATGAAAAGCAAAAGGAAAAGCTTCAAGAGCAAGAAGGGCGGGACAAAGAAGAAGCCATTTTCAATGATCAAATAATGCAAAGTGTGGTAATAAGGGGAAAAAGGGGGAAAGGAGTTAAAAGTTTGAGATCAAAGGGAACAGCCAAAAGAAAAATAGTCTGAAAATTTATGTTGTTTATGCTGTTTATGTATATAACAGCAAGGAGAAGCAGAAAAGAAAACTACAGAAGGGAAAATTAGAGAAGGGTATAAAACAAAGGATGAGAAAAGGGGGGGAAAGATAGAAAGGGAAAGAACTTATGAGGGACAAAAGCAGGAAATAAAGAAAAAGGGGAAACTGTACTAGGATTAAAGGTATTTGCTCAGCTAGAAAACAGAGACAATAGTTAAATTAAGTTAAAAGTGAGGATTCTGCAAAGGTACAAAAGATAGTGTTGTGACAGTAGAATACTGTAATGAGTTAGACATGAAATAAGTAAATAATCTATGAGATAAAACTATTGTTATGTAATGGTATGTTTATTTATAATTAATGCAATAATAAAGAAGAGAGGGAAACATTGCAATTGTTTTTAAAGATTGATAAAATCTTGAAAAGAAATGTGAAAGATTTATAAGGAAATTTATTCCAGTTATTAGAATGAATTTGAATAATTATTTTGCTTATTAATGGTAAATAATTTATAAAACTGTATGACTATCCAATGGTATGCTTATTAACAGTTAAGTAATAATGAAGAAGGGAGGGAAACATTTCAGTTGTTCTCAAAGATTGATAGATATTGAAAAGAAACGTGAAAGATTTACAAGGTTCATACCAGTACTAGAATGATTTTGAATAACTATTTTGTTTACTAATGTTTATATATATATATTGTTTTTGCTATGTTTTTAGAATTTTTCTTTTTACATTTTCAAGGGGAAGTACCAAGCAGAGTCTGAATGATGAGATCTACATGATATAAAATAGATATTAGAAATTTGAATGTTATAATTTTAGAATGCACAAATTCAATGTTTAATGAGATTTCATATGATAACAATAAGATTTAAAGGTGTTGCACATCGATTGGCAATCATAGGGGGAATTTTGCTTCTTAAGAATGTTGGAAGAGAACATATGAAATTGTAAACAAGACAGACGAAAGTATAAGTATAATGAATAAAAAGATATAGAAATTTAGGTAAAAGAAATAAATTGAATAAGAAGAAAATGAGATAACCATAAAAGAAAATTAAGAGAAGTAAAGGGAGAAATAGTAAGAAGTTGGAAAAAGAGTAATAAGATATGAAGTTGAATACATAAGATGAATATGCATATGAAATTGTGTCTGTGTGGAAATGTGATAACCTGGAACCATGCTGTACTCAAATAAGATGTTTGTTTTATTTGTTTTGTTAAAACTCAATAAAACTTTATTAAAAAAAAGAAAAGAAAATAACTATGATAAATTATTACAAGTAAAGAAAGATCTAGGGATAACCAATACAGTTATAATCCAATAGTAATAGCAGAAAAATATATCATTTATTAATTAATAGGTAATTGATAAGGGATAAGGAATACTTGCCAATGATTACTTACTACTGTTTACTATGAGCTATCAATCTTAATATCAAATGTAACAGAAAGAGATATGTTTATTGTTCTATTTATATTCTTTTTATTAGTACATATTTGTATGTTTGTGTTTTAATCTTTTGTAAATAAAGTCTATTTTAAAACTAAAAAAAAAAGATCTAGGGATATGGGTTAAACTGCAACTCTCATTATTAGGGAGGATTGCTACTATCAAAATGTCTATTCTCCCTAAATTCATCTATTTATTTCAGACAATATCAATTAAAATACATAAAAACTACTTTGTGGAACTTAATAGGCCAATTGCAAATTTTATTTGGCAAGGGGAAAAAACGAGAATAAACCTAAAAGCAATGCAGGATATGAAGAGCAGGGGAGGTAATATTACTATGCAGATTCCTTAGTATGGCTGAAAGAATGGGTGAATCTATCTAATAAAAGAATACTTGTTTTAGAAGGCCATGATTTACAGAGAGGGTGGCACGCTTTCCTATGGGATATGGGGAAAACTAAACAAAAATATTTTCATAGACATTTAATTAGAGATTCTTTATTGGCCAGTTGAAATAAAATAAGGAAAAAAGGTCCCGATCTGGATTTCAACAATGGAGGTGAATAATTTGGATATTAATGAGATGTTAAAGTACAAAGACTTATTGGATATTCAAGGGAATTTGAAATTATGGCAAGACCTTCAGGAACAAGGGTTATGAATTGACCGGTGGGCATATCTCCAAGTCCAGAATAGATATAGACAGGATATGAAGGATTTCGGAATCTATAATAAACCACAACAATTAGATAAAATTCTATTAGGCCCAGACAAAAAAACAAAAAAACAGAATTTTATAACTATTTATTAGAGATAGAGTTAGAGGAAGAAATAGTTAAAGGTAATATGATAGCTTGGAGCAGGAAAATGTTTTATAGATGGCATCTACCCCCTTCGAGATTAGCGAAGATGTTTCTCAACATGAGCCCTAAATGCTGGAAGTGCAAAAAGAAAGAGGGAACATTCTACCACATGTGGTGGTCTTGCACAGAATCCCAAAAATATTGGCTGAGAATAAAAAAATGGATGGAGGAAATTACGACTGAGCAGATTGAACTTAAACCAGAATTCTTTCTACTAGGGATACTCAACAGACAATTCCCAGAAAAAGTTAAATATATAATATTACATATATTGACGGCAGCTAGATTAGCCTTCGCACAATGCTGGAAACAATCCTATATGCCACCAGAGGAAATGATCATTCAGAAAATATCAAGTTGTGCAGAAATGGATAAATTAACTCTTAACACTAAAAAATAATGAAGTATCACAGTACTATATGAGTTGGAACTGTTGGTATGAGTGGATAGACCGAAGATAGATTATATTTTTATTTTTATTTATTTATTTATTTGATTTGCCAATTGTTTACAAGATAATAAGTATAAGTGTATACATAGTTGTGAATACATGAAATGGGTACATATAAGAAAAATAAAAGAAGAATAAGAGAAACAATAGGACAGGGACAGTAGGCACGTTGGTGTGCTTATGCACGCCCCCTATATAATAATAATAATAATAATAATAATAATAATAATAATAATAATAAT